GCCGTCCTCTCTAGCCTTGGAGAGTGCCTTAAAGACTGCCGCTAGCTTAACTTCCTCTACTAAGCCCTAGGAATTAAAAGATCCTCTTTCTGATTTACATCTTATTATCAATGTAAATATGCATTGAAAAATGCGTTCTTTATCATTTGTCAATGCATAAATGTATAATGTTGTCAAATACAGGCAAAAGTGAACCGAGATTTACATTCCATTTGCCTCGTTTTCAAACGCAGCCTAAGGAAAGATAATTATGCCTCCATCACAGAAAATTATGTATTGGGTTCCTTCTAGGATACATAACATTGATCCCTCTCTACCTGATCCTAGAGAGATCTCCTCCAACCAAGAACCAAGCGATTAAAGGTTGAATTAATTTTGTTCAGCAGCCAAACCACTTCAATACTTTTTTCATTAAACAATAACTCAATTCTGCATAAACCAAATATAGTAAATGCCAATAGAAATCCATGATTGAATTTCTACAGAAAACTGTTTGTTCAGAGCACTCCTTATGATTTGATAAACCTAGTCCATGACAGAGAGTTGAGGAACTAAAGCATGTTATGCGACCAGGGGGACCCAAACTAAATAGCCTTAGATTAGGGGCAATGGCAAGAAAGATGGTCATTTGACTTAGGATAAGACTGATAGAGGGCACAAAGACTTTCTTCTCCAATTAGGCATAACTTAACCTTGGTAGGAAATAAATATTCCAGAGCTCGTCATAGGGCCATCTTGAAACACCCAATTACTATTAACCAAGGTTCAAAATATCATTACGTATCGACTCATCAGTCGATATCGGGGCCTTTTTCATACGCCCCTACATGGAGATAGGTTGGGAGTAGTTCGCGATATAGGGTTCTCCAAATGATTAGCTTATATAGCCGAGGAAATGCCATTTCTTCCTTTAATCCAGATCCATTGGGGATCTTGGACTAATGGCTGGATAGGAGTCTCAAATTTAATTGACTACCTCCTCATGAAGAAGCCTCAATGGACGAGGTCTATCCCAAGAACCATCCACCTTAATCAAATTAGAAATCTTTTAAGTTTTGGAACTCCCTATTCAAAGGTTGGGAAATTCCAGAAAAACCTTATTTGTCCCTTATCTAGGGGGCACAATAGAAGTTAGGAGGTGAGAATCTGAGGCCACCAAGAAGCCCACCTCCTAGAATAAGTCCCTAAGGATTGGCCCAACAGGTTTCTAGAAAAAGGAGGTTGATTTTTTTTTTCTTTTTAATTTTGAAAGGAAACAAAAACCCCACATTTTGCTTGACATAATTTTGCCCACCATTCATGGTTTTTTGTTAGGAATCTCCAAGCAAGTCGTTTCAACAGAAATTTATTAACAGTCGGTCAGTCCCCCCACCTTGAACTTTAGGGGTGCAAAGTTTCTCCCAAAGAAGCCCACCTAAACCTACCTTGGCTTGATTCATTCCAATTTCACATTGATATGGCGACATAGAGATTTTGCTTTTTTTTTACAAAGATTTGCTTTCAGGGAATTATTTGAAAAGGGAGATTAGATATTAGAAGGCTTCACTTAGAGGTCAATAAATTCCATGAAGGATATATGCTTTTTCAATGGAGGACACCGTGATCATGATGGGAATCACAAGTGTTACAAGGCAAAGGAAAAAGGATATACTTATGGCCATCACCATGGTTTTTAAAATCAGGCCAGATCGGACGGTTGGACCGGAAAGATCATGAACCGGTTAATTGATCAGTTCTGTTTTACCCCAAAATCATTATTTTGCCAAAAACCGTTGATTTAGTTCAAAAACCGCTGATTCAGGCAATCGAACCGTTTAATGGTTTTAGCCATTTTTTATTAATTTTTTAATTTTTTGTTAAAACGGGCCATCCATTCGGTTCAAATAGTCAGACCGTTCGACCCAGGAACTGGACCTTGACCAATTCATTGTTCGATTCGATTTTAAAAACCTTGGCCATATTGCGATCCTCCTCCACCAATCAAAGGTTTATTTATTTATTTATTTTGTGTTTTTGATGGAGCTGAGAGCATTGTCACTTTCACACACACACATATATATATATATATATATATATATATATATATATATATATAACATATGGTTTTAACATTTAGGAGATATTAAGAATAAAGGATCAGTAAAACTTCAAAAGGCTTGGCTCAAAAGATACATAATTTGATGATGGTTAATGCGTAATCTGGATTGTGATTATTTTGCAACTAAATTTATTGAAAATACAGAGGATGAGTTTCTTAAGTCATTGGTAATGCCAAAATAAGAAGTTGATCTTGTTGAAAGTCTTACATATCACAAACTTGGGCAAGTGTAAGAGAGGCAAAACTTATTATGCAGGTTGAAATGTCCCAAGATTTTATTATCCCAAGAAGGTCTCTTTTCCAATTTCTTTCTTTAGCACTCAGTTTTGTTTTTTGCTCACCAACATTGGGTAAAGCTGTTTGAGATTGAAGTCTTACCTGTAGTCACAAGCAACAGAGAAACAAGCATATCATAGCTGCTACTGATCAAACAAAGAGCAAGGAAATGTAAGATGAAAAAGAAGAAGGGTGATGCAAGTAAGGTTCAAAATATCGATACGCCCCTATGTAACAGTAGTGTAACAGTACTTAAAATAACACACTTATATATATATATATATATATATATATATATATATATATATTCAAAATTTGGTTTTTAGACATTTTAACCATATATTTTTATTAATAAAAGAGTGGTTCTCAAAACCCTTTAAATAGGAGTATCATGAAGCCACCGATACGCTATAATATGCTTGATACAAGGTATATCATATTGAAATTTTTTTTTGAGAATAGTATCGTATGAAAATTTTGAACCTTGGATGCAGTTAACTAGGCATGGTGCATTGGTTTTCTACTATGCTTTGATTTTCTACCATGCTTTGGTTTTACTAATTTGGGATTGGCTTTAAATATATTCCATGGAATTATCAATTCATTCCAAGTTCACACTAATATGGTGATAAAAAGATTTTTTTTTTCTTATTTTTAGTAAAAGGTCTTTGCAATAGCTGATGTCTCAATGTAAAGACAACCTTGTTTCACGTTTTAATGAAGGGCAGAATTGTCTACGCATTTAAAAAATCAAGATAATGGTGAGAAGGTATATTTAAATTTAATTGAAAACTTGAGGCTCTATTTAAGTGAATTTATGAAAACTGAAAGTATGTTTAAGTCTCCTCTATAGAACCACGTGTACAAGTTGGTTATATATAGAGGTGTAACGGTAGTCAAAAATCCGATTTTAAATTCGAGATTTGAAATAATCGAATTGAATTCAGATTATTTGAATATTATAATTGGTTGAATTCAGATATCCTGTTCATACCGTTTAAGTAATTGAATCAATTCGATAAATATCCAAATTTGATTGATTATTTAATTCTTATTATAATATATGAATAATTTATATATTTATATACTTTATATAAATAAAATATTTATTTTATATATTTATTAATTACTTAAAGTAATTAATTGGTCGAATTCGAATGTAATTGAATATTTGAATATTTAATCGAATGCGGATAGCAAATTTTCTAATCGGATTCGAATTTGGATATTACTTGATTCAATTCGAATTCAATCAGTTTACACCCCTAGTTACATATTGCTTAAGTCTGGTTTTTCTTCTTAATCTTTTTATTTTTATTTATTTATCTTTTGTTTTTTACTTTTTGCATCCATATTTTGTATTGGGCAACAATCAACAGCAAAATTGCATTAGCATTTGTAACTCACAAATTGAAACATGTAAAAGTGTAGATTTCATAATTTCAATACAAAACTGAACCGAATTTCGAATGTGGTCAATTGACTCCATTTGCGTAACATCGAGGTAAACATGGTTTGCACTTATTGACTAGAGTCTAGAGTAAGCACGGCTAGGATTCCAAAGGCTTCTGAGGGAAACAAATTTGGTTTATATAACCCGGTCGGGTTTTGGAAATTGTTTTGGGTCGGGTTCGTGTTTAGGCAAAACCTACCAAAGCCGATCTGTTGATATCCCTACACAAATGCGACTTGAGATTTTGTCATGGGTTTGGATCCACTGTGAAATTTGATATTTGTTTAGCATAGGATTGGAGTCAATATCGAGACATATAATGTCAAGGCTCATGATTTGGTTAACCGAATTGCGGGCCTATTTTTCAAATTGAATTGATATTATTGATTTTAATTAAAATAGAATATTGGTTTGTCGGCTCTTTTTATTTTTTAAAATTTATAATATATTATAAATAAATATATAAGAAAAATGCTATATATAAATATATACTAGTCGATTCAATTAATTATCAGTTTTTTATATTGATTAACCAAAATTAAACCGTTACTTTTAATTTTTTGGAAATACTAAACTAAAACTAAACCAACCAATTCAGTTAATCAGAATTTTCAATTTGATCTCGTCAGTTAAATTCAATTTTTCGGTTTTTGATGATCACCTTAAGATTGAGACCTTATTTAATTGGGTCGGTTCTGCTCGGATTATCGGATCTATCCGACCCATGGACAGCCTTATACTAGATTAATTGATATGAGAGGCAGAGAGATCATTCAACTTAATGATCTGAACCAATAAGTTTGACAAGATTTTAAAGTTACACTTAACGACCTATCGTTGAACGGTTGAACCGAACCGGCCCGACCCGACGACTTAGGTTTGTCTCAGCCTCTCAGGCCCAGTCTTTGAAACCGTGAAACGTTTATCGGAAGAGAAGCGATATATCGTGCAGATACACTGGATAACGGAACTGTGATTTGAAATCACTCTCGAGATCAAAATCAATCTCGGGAAAATCGAGAGATATCTCGGTACCAACCAAGAAGATCTCCTCTACAATCATGACCGTTCCTTTCTGTCAGTCAAATCGTTGACTTTCCGTCTGTTTCCCTCCCTCTTCCTCCACATACTTCATGGCTTGGTCGCTCAGACGCGGTCCCCCACACTGCAGAAATCAAAAAACCAAATCTCTCTCTGCTGCCGGAGAGAGAAGAAAGAATCGTCACCGCCGAAATATCTGTGGGCCAAATCAGACCAAAATCTTGCTTTCTCGTTTCTTGAGCTATTGCGCTTGGATTCTCTTCCGTGGTTTCCTTCTTCATGTGGGCAGAGTATATATGATATATATAGATGGTTCAAAGGGTCTCTCTGGTGCAAAGAGATGGATATGTCAGGTTCAAAGGCTTCAACTTCCTCTCCTCGGCGTGGCCTTTCCGGCGACACTCGTGAATCCGAGAGGTTGCATGTTCTCGCCGTCGATGATAGCTCGATTGACCGGAAATTAATCGAGAAGTTGCTTAAGAGTTCTTCTTATAGAGGTAAGTAGCAAGCAGCCGAATACTCTGTGCATTAAGAGGCTTAATAAGAGATTTTACTCATTTTGACAGTTTCTCTGTTTTACTGATTGTTGGGCACAGTCACAACGGTTGAAAGCGGGAAACGAGCATTGGAGTTGTTGGGGTTGGGGAAGGAGAATTCTTTTTTCAAGGTGAGGGTCTCTCTCTCATTTGCAGCAGTGTTCTGATTACTTTCTGCTTTTAAAACTATGTAAAGGATGTGATTTTTAATTGACATTGGCAACAACAATTGCAGGAACAGAAGGTCAACATGATAATAACAGATTACTGCATGCCGGAGATGACAGGATTCGATCTTCTTAAAAGAGTAAAGGTTAGCAAGAGGGACGTCACTTCATTTTTGTTTTTCTGGGTCATAATTTTGAGAAGAGAGTTTCATCTATTTTTCATATATTGGTTTTCAGGAGTCATCAGCTTTGAAGGAAATCCCAGTCGTGATCCTGTCTTCAGAAAATGTGCCCACCAGAATCAATAGGTAAAGCCAAAAAGGTGTCATCTTTACTGGGTTGTCTCTGTATCAATCAACAGAAACGTTTTTGGGTCTAATCTCTTGTCGTTTGCACTGGAGAGAAATTAATATCTGATTATGTTTTCGGCCATGAACAGATGCTTGGAAGAAGGAGCAGAGGAGTTCTTGCTGAAGCCTCTCAGGCAATCTGATGTGTCGCGGTTGCATAATCACATGACGAGGGTGAATCGTTGTGGCAGTGTTAGCTGAGATCTCCCGACCCCATTCTTTTTGTCCTTTTAGATGAAAATGTATTTCTCTGTATCTCTGATGTAGAGAGAAGAAAAGATGTTGAAACGGGATGGGATGGATGTCAATTGGGTCTCCATGAGAAAGGGAGAGAAAGATGGGTCTTTTTGTTCCAACGTTCCACCCCCTCCCCCTTGTTTTCTTTATGATGTTTGTTAGAACTTTTTTTTTCTTTTTGGCTCAGGAATTTTTGTAAGCACTTGGAGGTTGTAGCTCTGTGAATATTAGAAAAGAGATTACTAGCTTGCTTCATTCTTGAGACTGATTCAATTCTTTTGTTTTTGTTTGGGTTTTGGCTTGAGCTTCTTTTCTGTTATGCAGATCGGTTGGAAAAAAATTATGGTACTGTACAAATGCTCCATATTTTGTATTTTTAAACCTGTATTTATCTGTACCGTACAAATATGTACTCTTCCCAGATAGAGTATTTATTAGAGCATATATACAATCCGGCAAAGAGACAGACATCCCCACCGTCTTGTGTTGGCAACAGAAATCCATGGAGCCCGTTCTAATTAGAGCTACGTGAAGTATTATTGTCCATTCAGGCGAAATTTTATATAAAGCACCTACGTGAGAGGTATAGTTCATCTCAAGTCCAGTCATCAATTCTAGCCCAATCAATCGATTGGACTAAGTTGGGATAATTAATAACTTGACTCTGCCCCCACCTGGGGGGGGGGGGGGNGGGGGGGGGGGTTGCTCCTGGGATTTCTTCACTCTTTCTTAGGCCCATTTGGTTTGGGGGGAATAGGGGTCTTCAGATTTCAATTGTTTAGTTGGGTAGAATCAGAATTTCATTTTCATTTTTGGTGAAATAACATTTTGAGATTGAGAGTGATCATTTCCTCTCTTAGGAATGAAATTCCATTTTAATTGATTCTAATTCTCATTCTGAATTTTGTGTACTCCTTCCAAACCCAGCCTTAATGTAGAGCATCCAACTCTTAATGCAGGTCCAGACCGGGTAAAGATCGACTCGCTGCATCCAATTCTACATTAATTGTCATCCATTTCTGGTTCTGACCGCTGAATTTCATGCTCCAGCAGATTTCTACCGTCTGCAATCATACCTTGGCTGAAATGATGGTAGGCATGGGATCAGGAGTTGTTTTCCAATACTTCCTTATTTCTGAATTTTAAAACAATGTTTTCTAATCTTTGTTGACCTGGACAGTCGGGCTGGCCGTTTTATCTCAATCCCTAATCAAAAACCATTTAATTGGTCAATAACCTATTGATTTGAGTGATCAAACTGTCAATATATTCAGCCCATTCAACGGTTTGACCATTTTTATTTTAATTATTTTTTATTTTTTGTCAAAACGAGCTATCCATTCAAACCAAAAGTTCAAATCATCAATCCGAAAATTAATGGCCAGAATGATTCCGATTCCAGGTTAATTTTTAAAACATTATTTCCAAATACACCATATCCAAGAATATTATTCCATCAATTCCAGTTTTTTGCCAAATTGCACCTTTGAGGCATATCTAAATGAATAATAGAATTCTTCACGGGAATCAACTTTCAGGACAGTATTATCCACAATTGAAAAATGAATGAAAGTGTGATTTAATATGTAAAAGAGTAATGATTATCAGATTGAAAATGTATTTTTTGATACTTTTGTACTCTGAGAAGAGAGTATTATTGTACTTATTTTTTGGGATACAATTTTGTGTTCTTTTGATAATTAACTTTTTGATAAAAGTTAAGGCATTGGAGTATAAGATAATCGGAGCATCTAAAGATGGGCCCACACTTTGCACCGATTTCAAACAACAAAATGAGTGTAGAAGCAGTTTAAAATGTGAACCGTATTTGCATTTATTATCCAAAAATAAGTAAATATGCAGTGTACATATTTGCATTTGCATTGCAACCAAACACAACCTAAATAACACACCAAGAAACAAACAATTTTAAGTGGTTCCACTCTTTGGCCTACGTACAAAATGTACAGAATTCACCAGATAGTTGCAAAATCTTCTTCCTTTTTCAAAAGCCCTGTCTTGCTTCTTCTCTCATACAAAAACCTTATCATTTTTTCCTCTCTTCTTACAAAACATAAAGAAATCCCTTTTGTAATAAGAAGGGAATATCAGCCTTGGATCTTAGCAAGATGGAGTGGCTGAAAATGCAAGACATAATAAGAATATATGGCTTCCCCAAAATACCCTTTGCATTTGAGCCAAAACACAAATTTCCTTGAATAAATAAGTTAATTGCACTAAAGCTTTGCACCTTTTAATGCAAGCGACTTTGTCATCATGTCAGCAGTATTCTGAGATATATGAATCTTTACAATTTCAATCTTTCTTCGATTATCAATTCCTATATCCAACGATACCTCACATCTATATTCTTAATTCTTGTGTGAAAAACCTGATTCTTTGCCAAATGAATAGCATCTTATATACATATATTAATAGGATTGGGGTGCTCTCTCCGTGCAAGAAATGGAATCTACTCGTATGAGTAGATTTTCATGCGAGAGCAACCCATTTCCTATTAATTATATAAATATTGTTAGATAATTAAATATATAATTATCTAATTATATAAATATATAATAGTTATTATAAATATTGTTAATAACTAAATATCAAACCATTCAAATGGTTTTGACCATTTTTTTAATTTTATTTCCTATTAATTATATAAATATTGTTAGATAATTATATATATATATATACATATATATAAGTATCTAATTATATAAATATATAATAGTTATTATAAATATTGTTAATAACTAGATATCGAACCCGCTCAAACAGTTATGACCATTTTTTATTTTTTTTATTTTTTTGTCAAAACGGGCCGACCGTTTGACCCGATAACCAGACCCTTGATCGGTTCGACCTTCGGGTCGGTTTTAAAAACCATGATGTTATGTCATTCAAGCGTGTGACTCATACAACCCAAAAATGGAACCGTTTTGGCCACCGATTTTTGGGTCAACGATTCAACCATCCGGTTCGAAAGGATAGCCCATTCTGACAACAAAAATTAAAAAATATAAAAAAATGGCCAAAAACCATTGAAGGGGTCAACGGGTTAACAGTTCAACCACTCAAGTCAATGGATTGTTGACCGATTCAGCGGTTTTTGGCCAGGGACCGGGATTGGGGTAAAACAGAAATGGTTGCCTGGACGGTTCCCAATTAAAAAAATAAAAAAATGGATGACCCGTTCTAACAACAAAAATTTCAGGCAAAAATTGAGTGTGAGGTCCATTAAGTAGTACCATACGTGTTATGTCATTCAAGCGTGTCTCATACGACCTGAAAATAGAATCGTTCTAGCCACCAGTTTTTGGGTTGACAGTTCGATTGTTCAGTTCGAACGGATGGCCCATTCTGACAACAAAAAATAAAAAAACTAAAAAACGATCAAGAAACATTGAACGGGTCAATGGTTCGACCACCCAGGTCAATGGGTCGTTGACCGATTCAACGATTTTTGGCCAGGGACTGAGATAAGGATAAAACGGAACCGATCGCCTGGATGGTTCCCAATTAAAAAAATAAAAAACGACCAAAAACCATTTTACAGGTCAACGAGTCGATGGTTTGACCACTCGTGTCAACGAATCATTGACCGATTCAACGATTTTTGGCCAAGAACCAGGTCAATGGGTCAACAGGTCGATGGTTCCATTCTAGCCCCTACGAAGCAGGGCCCCTCCACAAGTTCTAATTATCACAATGTAGCACCGCACATTCTTGTTTCAGCCCCAACTCTATAATTAGTCCACATAACCAGAAGGCCTCCTTGGCTACCTCAATCACAACCGTATATTTTGCCTCCGTAGTAGATAAGGCAATAGTGGACTGCAGGGTTGACTTTCAACTAATGGGACCACCTTCCAAAGTAAACAAGTAACTTCTTGTTGATCGTCTTTTATCTAAGTCAGCTGGGGTAAAATACAAAAAACCTCCCTTGAAGTTTCTAACAATCATAAAAACCTTCCCTATAGTTTTATTTTAACAAATATCTCCCTTGAACTTTTCAGGAACTTGACAAAAGCCTCCCTTCCACTACCGTTCCAGAAGGAAAACATTAGACTGATGTACCAATATTTTCCAAATATCCATTCTACCATTTTATAAGTTATTTTACATACAAAATTACTGAAATAATCCCATTTTAACTTAACAAAAATGCATATTTCAGTAATTTTGTATGCAAAATAATTTATAAAAGGGTAGAATGGGTATTTGGAAAAAATCGGAGCATCAATCTAACATTTCCGTTTGGGGCAATGACGAAAGGGAGGTTTTTATTGAGTTTCTCAAAAGTTCAGGAGAGGTATTTGTTAAAATGAAACTATAGGGGAGGTTTTTGTATTTTACCCTCACCTGGGTAATTTGCACCAAAATACCCAACAACAACCCTTGGACCTTCTCTACCAAGCTTAAAAGTCGGATTCTTTGAATTTGGAGAATTAGATTCTCGTAAGATCAATCTAGCATTGGATCAAATCACATTTGATTTGCATATTAAATATGAGAATACTTGATATGGACACCACAAATTGTAACTCCTAGATAGTAGTGGTTCATGCCCAATATTTAGACCCAAATTGCCCTCCCAACTGAAGATGGCATAATTGATAATGAAGGCCAATCCTACAATAGTTTTTCATTCGAACTCTTCCAACATGTTTGGAAGTTATAGATGTGAGACCACTTCAAGTTATAGTGTGTTATAGTAGAAAACACAATAGACAGATTGAAAAAACAATCTCTAAAGGTTGGTTCGAGCGGTTTATGGGTAACAAGAGAGAAGAGAAAAAGTGCATGAATGTGTAAGACAAGTAGTAGTTGAACTCTCCCTATTGTATCATAATGTAATTAGGACTATCCAAATATGATTTGGTTAGGTCTCTAACTACATTAGATAATATGGAGATCCATACCCATATTCAATCCATTGCACATGACAACTTGACTAGTCTAATGGGCTAAGGCCTCTTATTTGGGTGGTTCATTAACATAATTGTTGCAAGCCTTATTGGGCTTGAACAATATATACTGTGGGACCTACAAAAGACTTATATCACTCATTATGGGTTTTAGTCCATCATAGGAAACACATGGGTCGAATTTACTGATCAAAGCTAGTGAACCCTTGAACCAATTGAATTGGCCTCTGTATGGACCCAACACTTAAGTCTCATTGACCCTTAGTTTCAACCACCCTATGAAGTCCATGAATAATGGATTGACATAAGATAAGGTATATTAGGTTTCAACCTTGTAATGGTCTTTTGATCTGAACCTCTTAGCCCTAAATGACCAAATACTACTCATAGGAAAGGACCTCTTTCTTAATTGTTAAATGCAATGTCACACCCTCTACTTAGATGGATCTTGGGATTAAAACATTTTACAAACCTTTTTTTCATAAAATAATATATCATAAATATAAATACATTTTGTAAAGAGATTTCAAAATTGGCAATTTTAGGTTTCCAACAAAGAGAGTGTTAACCCTAACACACTTTTTTATGATAAAAGGGTTGATTCTATCACAATGATCACCCCACTCAGGTAATATTCCAAACAGCTCCAACATACCTAGGTATTTAACTGAAAGAAGATCTCACTACTTGGTAGTTCAGATATAATAGTGGTTGTCTAAGGTAGAGGACGTAAGCAGGGTTATGTGAACCTCTATGAAAGTTTTGTGTGCCTTGTGTGTTTCTGCATTTTCTTCAAGTTTTGGAGTTTGCTAATTTACTAACTTTACTAACATCCTCAAATAACTTAATAACTTGAGTTCTTGAGGTCTTGAAGATATTTGCACTTACTCTATTTTTTATTTTAGATTTGCAAGATATAAAACCATTTAGTGTAGTTATTAAGCTACTAACCTCACCAACCTTACTAATTGCATTAACCCTTGGTTTAGTGATTTAAGATTCATTGCATATTAACTTCTATCAATGACTAACTAATTTATTCTATCTGTTTTGCTTTTACATTTACTTTTATAGTTTCTTATCTTTGTTTGTTCATTTATCATTCAAATGTATTTACATTTCTTCAATTATATATGTCCTTGAGATTCTATATCAACTAACAATTGCTTGAATCTTAAATTAATTATACTTAGATAGTTGGTTCTCATCTCAACTATCATCTTGTATCAGGTCCTTCCGTCTACTACCATTAGTGGCTGGTCCTCTCTCTAGCTACTATATCCTTGTCACACACTACCAGGACAAATGCCATTTACTTTTATTATTCATTTATATTAGTTGACCAATTAATTTACTTTTAGTGTTTATATTTATTTGTTTAACTATAGAACCACTAACTTGATAGTAAGGTGTAGTACTTATTTTTTCATTTCATTTCATTTATTATCATTTTGTTAGCAGTTATTTCTTATTGTTTATACCTATTGATTGCTAACCCATATAGCTCAGGCTATTCGATTGTTTATCTGTCTTTGCAGTTGCAACTCTTTTTCAACAATTGGGTTAATCATTGAGTAACATCTTCATTAATTGTTGAACTAAATTGATTAAGCCTTTATTTCACTGCATTTTAGCTTCCGTTTTAGGGGAAGGGCGTTGGTCTTGATTTGTTCAAAGCCAAAGGCTTTTGAATTTTTAAAGCTCTATCAAATTCACCCTCTCTTGGGAATGGTCATTGGTCCCAACAAGTGGTATTAGAGAAGGATCACCTATACATAAGCTTAATAGCTTTGTGAATAATGATCGTCCAAACCACTATTTCTATAGAGGGACAACCCGTCACCAAACCTCCATTTTTCAATGGAGAATACTACAACTACTAGAATGCTAAAATGAGAACATATCTTATATCCCTAGATTATGATCTTTGGAAGTTGTTGTACATGGATTTCACAAACTCTCAAATGATTTTTGTCAAAGGATAGTAGAATAAAATTCCTAAGAACCTCCTAAGGAAGAAAAAAGGAGAATGTCACTCAATGCCAAGGCTACGAATTGCCTGTACTATGTGTTAAGTAGAAGTTAGTTTGATAAGATATCATTTTGTGAGAATGCTCAAGATATTTGGAGAATTCTTGAGTATACACGTGAACGTTGGGAAAATACCCTGACTGTTCACTTCATGGCCGAACAGATGGAGTTTCCACCCATCAGAATGGATACTCTCAGGTTTGTATTTGGTAAAACATGTAGGAATTAATAGTGACTCCACACCAATCGACCAAGACAAGGCTAGTTTGGGTAAGTTAAGAAAGAAAGAGGAAAGGGGTTAGACACCCCTCTCTTTAGTCAACCTGAATGCCAAATCCCTTTTCTAAAAGGAACAACGCAAAACTATAGCAAATATGGCTCGAGATTGAGAATCTGCATTCCCCAATGACTTGGAAATGTGATTTGGAAATCCCCTCTCTCTTCCCCTAGGCCAGACTCCTTTTGGATGCAAGGACTTGAGCAAAAGAGTGAGAAACCCCACTCCTTTTCTATCAAAGCCCCCACCTTCGGACTCGGCTACCCAGCCAGAGGAGTTGAGAGAGCAAAATTGTCACCACTCCAAGCAGAGGAGAGCGTCCTTGCTCCCAAACTCACAAGAATACAACAGTAGAATATATACAAAACAAATATAATAAAAAAGAAAAGAAACTAAAGATTAACAGCCTACATAAATCAAATCATGAATCTAACGCAATAGCAAGGTAAGCAAATTACCTTTATGTACCTTTAGTTGATGGAACGACCCTGCTACACCAGGAACAAAAGCTCTCAAATGTATTTAACAATGAAATAAGGCACATGGGTGAGGATATTAGATTGAAACCTCTACTGAGATTAGCAATAGCAAAGAAGACAATGAGTTAGTGTTGTAGGCGTTCCTTGTGCATCGATGACCACTCCCTTTTGTCAGCCTCTGCTCGGTCTTCCCTCTTGGAATCGTCTTTTCTTTTTTCTTTTCCCTTCTTCTGGTTCGAAAAACCCCTCTACAGACTTCCCTTCTCCCTCAACCTCTCTCCCTTTGTTCTCTCTCCACAGAAACCCTTTCCCTGCCTGAAAAAGTTTCCTCTCTCTCTCTTCTTCAAATCAAAATCCCCTCTCACCATCCAATACGAGAGGTCCCTTCACATATTCCTCTCTCTCTCTCTTTGAATTCTCAGCTCGACAGATCCTCAAAAGGAAAACAATGAGAGAGCTCCCCCCTTTGCCTTGGGAATGGAACTTCCTATTTATAGAAGGAGGGAGGGGAAGTTTTGCCAATTCTCATGATGGAAGAGGGGGAGTTTAGCACGTTAGGGTTTATAGGAAAAGGAGGGTTCGGTAACTTGGGGTTCAAGGGGTAATTTAGTAATTTATGGTTTGGGAGTAATTTGGTAATTTGGGATAAAAGGATGATTTGGGTTCAGAGGGCAAATGGGTAATTTGGGGGATGAAGGGGTTGGCTTAGAGGGTCATTTTGGTAATTTAAGGAATGAAGGGCATTTTTGTAATTTTAGATTTAAAGGGTATTTTGGTAATTTTGTAAATGATATTTTGGAGAATGAAGGATATTTTGGTGATTTGACATGAGATGTTTTGGTGAATTGAAAAGAGGGTAGTTTTTAGGTATTCAACATGTGGGGCATTTTTGTAATTTGACATGGGGGGTACTTTGGGAATTTGGTACAAGGAGTGTTTGGGTAATTTGGTCAAGGGGTATTTTAGTAATTTGGTTAGGGGGTGTTTTGGAAATTTAAAGGAAGGGGGTATTTTAGGAATTTGGTCAAGGGTATCAGGCAATGTTTTTAAACCATCGTTGACCCCGACGGTTGGACGGTTCGGACCGGAAATCATCTAAGTGATCGGTTCCGTTTTACCCCAAACCCAGTCTTTGGTCAAAAACTGTTTAATTAGTCAACAAACCGTTGACCCGGACGGTTTGATCGTTGAACCGTTCTACCCAGGGAACGGTTTGCGGTTTATTAAATAAGAGCAACATTCAAGAATGAAAAGAGAAATTTCTCAAATCTCATATATGAGGTCTACTAGAGAGAGAGAGAGGTCAGTTGAGGGAGATCTCAGATCTGAGATCTATCGGATGTGTAAGAGAGTGAGAGAGATCTAAGAGATTTGGGAGAGAAGGCTAAGAGTCTAGATGATAGATCTGGGAGAGAGAGATCTGAGACTGAGAGAAATCTCAAATCTACTTTCATTGCCACCGCTGTAGTTTGCCATCGCCGTCGCCGTCACTATCACCGTCGTCGTCGACGCTGTAGCCGACCTCCTCCTCCTTCTTCTTCTTCTTCTCTCTCTTCTCTCTCTTCTAAACTCTCTCATCCATTGGTTGTCTCTCATTCTCAAACAATCAAACCCTTTGTCTCTTCTATTTATATGCATCTTACCCTAATATTCCAATCTAATGGGTAAGATGGCATATCACCATTTATAATATTTAAACCATTTGACCTAGACAGTCGAACCGCTAACCCAAAAACCAGTGGCCAGAATGGTTCCATTTTGGGTCAGTTTTTAAAACCTTGGTATCAGGTGAGATCAATAGTGGATTTTGAGGATTTGGAGGTTGAGTCTTGGGTGTTTTGGAGTCTCTAGGTTCCGATAGGGTCAGAATGATTTGATTGATGTTCAAGGGTGAGTTGGGGGCTCGGACAGAGGACTGAACAAAAATCAGGTGCTGACAATACATGCAAAGAATATATTATTTCATCAAGAAGCCAAAGATGCAAATCAATAGGCCAAGGAAGATCAATTAGACTTAGATGCTTAGAATCAAGATCATTTGTAGCATGCAAAACAAGCATTGGATAAAGGATCACTAGATGAGAAAAGGAAGAAAGATGCAAATCTGAAACACAAGGACTCCACTCCAAAGAATAAAAGACCTAAGGTATGTCTAGTTCATGCTTCTTCCGGTCTAGTTATTTCCAAGGAAATTAAAAATCTTAACAAAAGGGTAAATAGATTTTAAACGCAAGACTGTAGTCTTAGAAGTCAAAAACATCATTCTTAGCTCTTCAAATTTAACCCTAATAAGGTAACTTAAAGCACTACAAAAAGTAACTGAAAAATTGAATGCCTTTTTTCTAGGACTAACAAATGAGCATATGTGAGTAACAACTGAAAAGTTTGACGTTATTGATATCCTAGAAAAGTTCACCCTTGGAACTACCAATATTAAGAAGATTTTAGGAAATCTAGTTTTGACCAATGACAACAGTGGGTTAGGATATTCAAGTGAGAAAATGAGTCACACTTCTGCAAATAAACTCCAACACAGTGGAAGAAAACACCGCCAACACTAATCTCCATGGGTCTGGATACTCAATTACTGCTAGTAAAGGGATAACCCAAGCAAGTCGAGTGAAAATTCTTATCTAGAGGAAGGTGCAATAGAATCTCACAAACCCAAATAAAATTGGGTATCTCACGCCTTCTTTTGATCCTCTCCCAAATGTCCTCCTTAAGTACAAGTGGAAAGAGAAAGGTTTCATTATGAAGTTAGAAGGTAGCCCAAGATATGGAGGACAGGTACTTACTCAACTTTCCCCATAGGGATATTCTTAAAGGCCGAATGATTAAGTTTGATTCCCTAAGGAAGGAAGGGACGGACCTAGAAAGACTATTGAATAACCTAGGCTGGAAGAACATAGTGCAATTCCATAAACCAATCTATCCCACACTTGTGATACAATTTAACTCAAACTTATCCTTATTGAATATGAGTTCAAAACTATAGTCAGATGTGGAAAAATGCAATTCTCTTTAGAAAAACTAAGGAGAACTATTGGAATCAGTAGTGAAGGACTCCAAATGGATGAAGAGGGAAGTGCCTAGAAACCCTAGAGTTAAGTTATCTTGATACTCTCCAAATGGTTTTTGACAGACCAACACTTAACCATAAGGCCCCGTTCTCTTTTTGGTAAGTTACTTACCTGGGTAAATGCAATTACCTAGGTAAGTGTATTTACCCATGTTCTTTTATTTCCTAGGTAAATAAGGTAATAGCCATTTTAGCCATAAAAATCCATTATTAAAAGGGGTATTTTGTCCCATTCAAGTGTTAGCAACTTTTCCTCTATGTGAGAAAGTTATTTACCCACCTAGGAGATGGGTATCACTTACACCCAGGAAAATAAACTTTTCCTAGTCCCCACATATATATGAAAAATGAACATGGGATTCTTAGTCAATGGGAACCAAAATCCCAATGACCAACTTTCCCCCCTCCCAAAATCCAAAAAAAGAACACCCCCTAATTATAGACCCAAAATAAAGAACCTTAGCATATCCCCAAGGCTATGTTTGTTTGGGGTGGAAAATCGAACCGGGGTAAACTTTACAACCCAGTTCGATTTTATTGGCGTTTGGTAAACATGTAATTTTACACTAAAAATCGGTGTAAAATTACACTTCGATTAAATTTACATCGATAATCGATGTAATAAATACATCAAAATTATATATCGATGTATTTATTACATTGCTCTCTCTCTCTCTCTTCTTCTTCTTCTCCTTCTATCTCGTTCACTCACTCTTTCTCTCTCTCTCTCTCTCTCTCTCTCTCTTCTTCTTCTTCTTCTCCTTCTCTCTCGCTCGCTCACTCTCTCTCTCTCTCTCTCTCTCTCTGTTTCTTCTCCTTCTCTCTTAATAGATGGTGGTGTCTATTGGTGGCATCGGAGCAAATCCAGCCACCCCTTCCCCTTTTCACTACCAGTTGCAACTCTGAGTGGGGTCGATTCTCTTCCTCCTTCACCGCCACCACCTCCGACAGGGTTTGATTGGGGGAACTTGGAGGCCGATTCAGATGGGTGTTCTCTACTTTTAGCCTAGGAGAGATCTCCATTTGGGTGCAAACCCATTGTTTCTCTCTCTCCCTCCATGGCTGTAGCATCTTGTCATGCCTGAGCGATCTCCATGGCTGCAACATCTATTCGTGCCTATGCGTTTCTCTCTCCTTCCCTCTCTAATAAATCTCCCACTGCAACAAACCAGAAAACAAGGTAATCTCAAACCAAACAGGATGAGTGTAAATGGGCACAATGGCCAGTCCATATTTTACACTCTCATCGAACCATTGTGTGTCAACTCCATCGGTATAAAACTGCATTTACACTGGAAACAAATGCAGCCTAAGAGTCATGCATGTGGCAATAACCAAAGGGGTTATTTCAAAAGAAGGGGAACTTTGGACATGTCTCTCATTTGGAGATCTTTCTCTTATTCTGCATTAAAACCAGAACATAAATAAATCTTCCATACATCATTGTGATGCACACAACTGAAGCAGCCAAAAGCACGACAAGTCCTCTACCATACAGAATGGCATTGACTAAAATCTTTGAGCAAGAGAGAGTAAACCTTGATCTTGAATCCGTCCTTATTCCTCGAGGGAAGTTCAATGTAAGGAGTTTGAGGAATATAAACTTAGACAATGATGCTTCTGAGAACCAGAGAGAAATTAAGGCTATTAAATGATTATAAATGATAAGAGCTAGTGAAGAAGGTAATCATGCCCCTTCCAACGAAAATGCTCAAGATGTGCCAAATCCTGGACCATCGTTTCTCATTTAATCTTGAACAATAACTTAATGCTTTGAACGATGGCATGGACTGAATGGTTGAGCTAGGTATTCAGCTCAACATCTTGGAAGGACATGTAGAAGGCATATATGGAAGCAAGATAAGGATAGCTCAAGCTATAAACTTGATGCACACCAAGATTGAGAGGATTGAACAAATGATAGAGAAGAATAGAGAGAGTTCTTGAGATTTCAAGAAAGAATGCAAGGAGCAATTGATGAAATGATAAAAGGTCTCTATATATAGAAATCCTAGACAATCAATTAGGAGTGAGATATAATCTTTTTAGCATGAAATTTAATATGATTATTTAAATTTATTGCATTGTTTATTCAATTAATTAAGTGTTTAAACTGACTAAGATATTCTTTCTTAATTATCTATGACATGCTTGTTCTCCAATAAGCCTTGATTGAATTGCATACTTTTTGAGAATGGAGATAATTGGCCAAAGCTATCTACAAGCGTCTAAATATGTTGAAAGGCACTTACCTTAGGGGCCACAAATACAATACACCCATAAGACAAGCATATAAAATGCTTGATTTCCCTCTTTGTGTTTATACTATTTGGTCAAAACTATTTACTATTAACTTCCAACTGATTTATTTCCCTCTTTGTGTTTAATACACACCAATTGATCATTTTCTATAAAAACATTTTTGAGAAAAATA